AGCTCCCGCGCCGACAGCCGCCCCAGCCCTGCCGCCCGGGCGTCGCGGTTAGAGATGGGCACATGCCGACAGGGAGACGCACCGTGCCATTAGAGATGTGCATGGTGCGATTATTAAGATGCCTGGGGCGGTTAGTGGGCTGCCCGGTGCAATTGGTGAAACGCCCAGTGCAACAAGTGCAATGCACGGTGCAATAAACGAAACGCCCGGTGCAACAAGTGCAATGGACAGTGCAGTAAACGAAATGCCCAGTGCAATATGTGCAATGCACAGTGCAATAAACAAAATGCCCAGTGCAACAAGTGCAATGCACAGTGCAATAAACAAAATGCCCAGTGCAACAAGTGCAATGCGTGGTGCAATAAATGAAATGCCCGCTGCAATACGTGCAAGGCACAGTGCAATAAACAAAATGTCTGGTGCAGCTAGTGAAGTACACAGTGCAACCAGTGACATGCCTGGAGCAACTGCTGAAATGCCCAGTGCAATTAGGGAAATGCACGCTTAAGTTTGCAAAATGCTTCATGAAATTAGTGAGATGCACACTGCAACTATTAAGACGCACGGGGCGATTACTGGGCTGCTGGGTGCAACTGGTGGGCTGCCAGGTGCAATAAGTGCAATGCACCGTGCAATAAATGAAATGCCTGGTGCAACTAGGGACATGTCTGGAGCAATTACTCAAAAGCCCGGTGCAATCACTGACGTGCATGGTGCGATTAGGAAAATGCACTCTGAAGTTTGCAAAACGCTTCGTGCAATTAGTGCGATGCAGGCTGCAATTATTAAGATGCAGAGGGTGATCAGTGGGCTGCCCGGTGCAACTGGTGAGGGAGGCACCGGTGCAGCACGTGCAATGCACGCTGAAAGTAGGGAAATGCCTGGTGCAGTTAGCGGGATGCCCAGTGCAATTAGTGTAACGCACACTGAAGCTTGCAAAATGCCTTATGCAACTAGCGAGACACACAGCACGATCATTACGGTGCTGGGGGCGATTGGCGGGATGGCTGGTGCAATTAGTGAAATGTACGGTGCAATAAATGAAATGCCTGGTGCAACTAGTGACATCACAGCAGAGGTAGGGAAATGCACACTGGAGGTTGCAAAATCGCATTACATAATCAGTGAGAGGCACACTGCAATTATTAAGACAACGGGGGCAATTAGCGTGCTGCCCGCTGCAATGGGGTGAAACACCCAGCGCAGTAAGTGCAACGCACAGTGCAACGCGGGAAATGCCCGGTACAACTAGTGGCATGCCCAGTGCAATTAGTAAAATACACAGTGCAATCAGTGCCGTGTCTGGTGCAGGTAGCGTCATTCCTGGTGCAATCAGTAAGCTGCCTGATACAATTAGTGACATGCCTGGAGCAATCAGCGGAATGCACACTGCATGAGGGAAACACCTGATGCAATTAGTAACGGGCCTAGTGCAATTAGTGATATGCACAATGCAAATTACTGGCGTGTCCATTGGAAATAGTGATATGCCTGTGCAATTAGTGACGGGCATGGCGCAAGTGAACACACGCTACATTTAGTGAAGTTCCCGGGGCAATTAGTGAAATGCACAGCGCAATTAGTGAAATGCACACTGAAACTGTTAAAATTCTCCACATGATTAATGAGCTGCACGGTGCATTTATTGAACCGCCAATCAATAAACACATCGTGCAATTACTGAAATGCCCAGCGTCATAAATGATGTGCCCAGAGCAATTACGGAATTGCCTGGTGCAATCAGTGACATGCACAGTGCAATAAATAAAATGCACTGTGCAATTAGGGGAAGGCGCAGAGCAATTAGCAAGATGCCTGGGGCGATTAGTGACATGCACCATGCCGTTGGTGAAAAGTGTATGGTGCATTTAGTGGCATGCAGTGCAGAGTGCACGTAGAGAAATGCACCGCATGCTGCACTGTGCAATCAGTTAAATGCATGCTGCACGGTGCACTTGGCAGCATGCATGGTGCTCTTGGTGAAACGCATAATGCGATTAGTGAACAGTACCACCAGATTTTCCATGGATTTAGGAAAATGCATGGCGCAGTCAGGAGAATGCCCGCCGCACCGTGCATACAGTGGCAATCGGTGCATTCAGGGGAGCGACACACTCAGCACAATGCGCAGTGCAGTCAGGAACATGCACCACGCATGGCTCAGTGAAGCGCCCGGCGCATTCAGTCACAGGCTCGGTGCTGGCAAGAGAGTGCATTGCCTGAAATGCGGGATGCAAACAGCGGAACGCAGAGCACACCAGGCATTTTTGCAAAACGCATGGCAAGCGGAGCAAAAAGCTCAGCGCGCAGGGACAAAGGACAGTGCACGACACTGTCGGTGCAAGGCACAGCACATGTAACGAACGGCACAGGGCGTTTTGCAAAACGCCGAGTGCTTTAGGGAGAGGCGCAACACATTTAGCAAAATGTGTTGAGCGCAACAGGCGACGCACGAGGCGTTTTGCAAAATGCATGGCGCTCCTGGCGAAACCCCAGGTGCATTTAAAGCAATACTAAAAGCAAGACCCACGTGGGCTTAATTTTTTGCCAAGAGCCCCCTCCTGGCCAAACAGTGTGTGAACACTGGAGCAAGCCAGCCCTGAAGCCTGGAGAGACTCAGTTGTCCAATTTGGTTGGAATTGCACCCAAAAAGTGACTGGCCCGGATTTTGCTGGCCGTACCTTCGTGGGAGCAGTTGTTGTTGAAGGCAGGGGAGAAAGCACGCAGCTCGTGCAGAAGGATGGGCTCCGTGCCCCCACCACCACCTTCGCCTTCAGCATCGGCCTCTGTTTCCTCCTCTTCCTCCTCCTCGTCCTCATCACCCTCAGGGTCAGCCTCAGGGTCAGGCGAACTCTGCATCAGCTCCTCCAGCTCCTCGATGACCTGCAGGGCATCACTGTCCTCCATCTGCACCTGCATCCTGCCTCCACCTCGCATCTACACCCTGCAGCCTACAGCTACATCCTGCATCTGCACCTGCACGCTGCATCCGCGTCCTGCACCCACATCTGCAACCTTCTCCCTTCATCCCGCACCTGCATCCTCCATCTGTATCAGCATCCCGCATCCTCCATCCTCCCCTTCGTCCTCCATCTGCACCCTGCTTCCTCCATCCTGCATCTGCATCCATCCGTACCCTGCGTCCTCGACCTGCATCCTGCATCTGCCTCCCACATTCCCATCTGCATCCAAATCCCACATCCCACATCCACACCCCCCCGGACCTGCATCTACATCCACATCTGCGCCCTGCACCTATGTGCGCATCCTGCTCCCTTCACCCTGCATCCTCCACCTGCATCTTGGACCCTGTACTTGCACCTGCATCTGCACCCTCTATCCAGCATCCACCCCCTGCAACTGGCACCTGCATCCTGCATCCCACATCTGCATCCCGCCTCTGCCCCCCATGTTTTCATCCTTCATCCCGTGCCACCCATTTGCATCCAGCACCCCGCACCCATGTTCCCATCTGCACCCAAATCCCACAACGGCACCCACAACCTGCACCTCCGTCTACATCCGAGTCTGCATCCCGTGCCCTGCATCCCACATCCCAAGATGATGGTATTTGGCCATTTTTGCGCTTTCAGCACATGGCCACGGCACTGGGGTGGGCTGAGGCCATGCTGGGGGGCTAAAGCCTGGCTTTTGGGGGACACGCAGGCAATCAGGTGCCCACCGGGGCCAGGGGTACCTGCTCAGCTGTCAGCAGCGGCTCCTCGTTGATGCCCGAGTCTTGCTCACTCCTCTCAGTGAGCTCCTCCTCCTCCTCCTCCTTCTCGCAGAGCTGCAGGAGACACAGGCTGGGCGGCCTTGGTGGCACCGCAGGCACAGCCCGGCACAGGCATGGCCCCAGCATGGACACAGGCATGGCCCCGGCCCTGGCACAGGGAGAGCCACCAGGGAACCACAGCTCAGGGGGACATGCTGCACGGGCGGGTTTGCATGGGGAGACATTGGATAGAGACGTGGATGGGGACGTTGGACAGGGAGACATTGGATGGGGAGACACTGGGTGAGGGCATTGGGTGGAGACGTTGGATGGGGATCTTGGGTGGAGACGTTGGATGGGAACATTGGATGGAAGGATGTTGGACAGGGAACTGGATAGAGATAGATGGAGATGTTGGATGGGGAAATGTTGGACAGGGATGTTGGATGGGACTTTGGGTAGGGACTTTGCACGGGGACGCTGGATGGGGATGCTGGAGACGTTGGAGAGGGAGATGATGGACAGGGAAGCATTGGATGGGGAAGTGTTGTAAGGAGATGGATAGAGATGTTGGATGGGCAGTCGTTGGATGGAGACATTGGACTGGGAAGTTGGACAGGGAGAAGTACAGGTACGTTGGATGGAGATGGATGGAGAGATGTTTTAATTAATATATTGGACAGTGACATTGGATGGTGAGGTGTTGGAGATGCTGGATGGAGATGCTGGGGATGTTGGATGGGGAGACGATGGATGGTGAAGCGGAATGGGGAAGAGGTCAGATGGAGACACTGGATGGGGACATTAGATGGGGAGATGTCGGAGGATAACATTGGATGGGGAGCTGATGGATGGAGATGTTGGATGGAGATGTTGGATGGAGATGTTGGATGGTGGGGCGTCTTCTTTTTTTTCACCTCCTTTCACAGGCTTTTTCACCTTTTCAGAAAATAACCCAAGAAATTTACCTTCTCCTCCCCCTTTAGCATCAGGTTGTGTAACATCCAAACGGGCTAAATTCAGTGGATTTTGGGGTATCTTTGTAGCCCTCCCACAACCCCAAATGCAGCTATTCACAGCATGAACTCACTACAACGAAGAAAACACTATTTTCTACCCCAAAAAATACACCACCTCATCCCTGGCGTAGAGGCAAATTAGCAAAGACCAGATTGCCAAACCAAACACTTAATTTTGCCTGGTTTAGTGTGTTTTCCTCCTAAAATGTGGATACCCACTGTGTTGGTGCTGCGGCACCCCAAAAATACCATTTCCGCACCAGGCCCGGGGATGTGGGACCGGTGGCCCCATGGGCTGCACAAGGGCCGTCAGCGTTGGGGCTGGGGGGTCGGGGGGGGGGGGGGGGGGGGCACAGCCATGCCTGGGGGTCGGTGCCGTCGGGGGCTTCAGCCCCGGGGAGCAGCCAGGGCCGGGGGGAGCCCCGGGGGGCGAAGCCATCGGTGAGAGCATCCCAGACCCTGCAGGTAGGTGGGTGGTGAGCGGCGATCCCAAAATGTTGCCTCCCAGAAAGCCGTCCCAAAACAGCATGCCAAAATGCCTCAAAACACCCCAAAATGCAGCCCTGGAACACCTTGAAATGCCCCCCCCAAATCCCAAAACACCACTGAGATGCCTGACACATCCCAAAACACCCCAAATGATGTCCTAGAAGACCACAAATGCTGCCCTAGAAGACCACAAACGATGCCCTAGAAGACTCCAAAGCTTCTCAAAATATCATCGTGAAATACGGCCCTGAAATACCCTGAAGTACCCCAAAATGCTGCCCCAGCATTTGACATGTCCCCAAACATTGCCATCAAAATACCCCCAAAAAGGTCACTGCAATGTCCCAAAATGTCCCCAGATGCCCCAAAAGACCACCCTGAAATGCTCCAAAATGCCATCCCAAATCATCACCATGATGTCCTGAAATGCCCCCAAACATTCTGAAATGTCCCCAAAGCCCCAGAAACACCCCAAAATGCCATCCTAAAGCACTGCCCCAAAGCCCCAGGACTCTCTGAAAGGCGTCAAAACACCTCAAAACACTGCCCTGGAATACCCCAAAATGTCCCAAAATGTTCTTCTGCAACACCCCAAAATGCCTCTAAAGGTCCCAAAGCTCCAAAATGCCCTGAAATGCCCCAAAATGCCACCCTGAAACACCTAAAAATGGCCCCAAAAGCCACAATGCTCCAAAATGCCACCATGAACTGCTCCAAACCACCCCCCAAAAAAACCCACATATCCTAAAGTGCCCCAAAACATCCCAAAATGCCACCTTTGAACACCCAGAAATACCCTAAAATGCTTTCCTGAAACACTGCCCCAAAATGCTCCATAATGTCCCAAAATGCTGCCCCAGAACACCCCGAAACATCTCAAAATGCTGTCCCAAAACCACCACCCCAAAAAGCCCTCAAACACTCCAAAATACTGCCCTGACACCCCAAAACACCACTGGGAAAGACCCCAAAATGCTGTCCTGAAACATTGCCCAGAAACACCCTGAAATGCCTCAAAAAGCTGCCCTGATACCCCAAAGAAATACCCTAAAATGCCACTGTGATGCTCCAGAACGTCCCCAAATTGCCCAACACCCCAAAACGCTTCTGCAATGCCCGAAATGCCTCAAAACTCCCCAAAATGCTGCCCTGGAACATGCTGAAATGCCCCAAAATGCCGTCACAGCACCCCAAAATGCCACCCTGAAACAGCCCTGAAACACCCCAAAACTGCTCTGAAATACCCCCAAAACCAGCTGTGATGCCCTGACCCCCCCCCCAACCTCCCAAAATACCCTGAAATGCTGCCCCA